TTTTGTTTTGTTTTGTTTTGTTTTGTTTTGTTTTGTTTTGTTTTGTTTTACGGACCTGATATCTTCATATAGCTGTACCAACTTGCTTTTAAAGTGCAAACAGATTAGTCTTACGTAACTCCATTTTCATTCTGGCTTCAGGAAATAAGCCTAAGTTATTCTAAATCAAACTCTAAAAATAATGAACCTTTAAAATTAATATTGCCCCAGATTTGTCACTATCACATTAACAAGACTGTTAGAGTGTCCCGAAGCCTTCGTGAAGCTGGAAGGAAAAACAGGCTTAGGTTGCAGCCAATGTTTTTGGCTTGGGAGAAAGTTTGTAACAATGCTAGCTAGTGCTTTGAAATATAATCCTACAGGGTTTAAAACAACACTGTTGTTTCTCATTGAGGGGACTTAATGTTTGGATTAGCCAGTTGATTAGGAAGGCTGTGACCTTTGTTTATGGAATAGCGACAGTATTTTCAGTCCAACAGGAACACAGATTTTGATGCAGAGTGCTGATAGTGAAGCATCAGTTTTCTCTGGGAAATGTTACATGTTGGTTGAGAAGTCCAATGAGAATCTAAATGTGCTTGTTGATTAACTGTGTATGCACCAAGTGGGAACAAACAACACGACAAACTTACTAAAACTTTTCTGCATGAAGATATAGAGCTTGTTAGAATATTGCTGTATTTCTTTCAGAAAACCTCTTTGTGGAAAATCATTCACACATTTCTTAAGCAGAGCAATCAATTTAAAAGATTTGAGAAGAAAAGTTTTAGAAGCAAAACTGTCCTGGATCCCAAACAATGATTCTAATAGAAAAGATATTTAAACAAAAAAAAAATACTAACAATGGACTTAGTGAAAGTTCAGGTTACCTTTTACAATTCCATCTTATTTTTTAACCACATTCATTTCTCTTTCCAACTCCTCCAACTTCTTCGTATTTAGATTCTTCATATTTTTTGAGATAGCTGCCACTAGAGGTCAGATGTTTATCATTATCTTTAGTGGCATTAATGACTACTGGTACTGCGTGGTTTGAAAATAAAATCACTCCAAACTGGATAAAATTATTCTCTTTCTTACACACCAATAGCATATATATGAATACAAACGGGAATAACACTCGTTAGAGATCAGAATGCTTACAACTGTTTAGTTGTTCATGCTTACAACTGTTTAGTTGTGATTTTGTATAAAAAATTGTGGTTTGATTTCTACTGACAGGCAGTGTCACAATGTTGATGTGTTATTTCTGCCTTTCTCAATTTGATATACTAAAAAAAAAAATGAACAACAACAAAAAACAACCACCAACAGAGACTAATCTAGACTGTTAAGTATTTTAGCAGTCACCCTAGAAAAGCTAGTTGGTAACATTTCCTGGGGAGCGTTGTAGCTTGCTATGTATGAAGATGAAATTTCCAGACACACGAAGAAGATACATGCATTAGTTTGAGTTACTGAAGCGCCAAAAGTAACGAGAAATCATAGCTT